CAGAAGGAGGAAACATCTTAGATTGCTTATTATAGGCCACTCAAGTGTATGTAAAGGCAAAACTTTTGATCTTAATTTTACAGTACAGGACACAGGAATTGAGTATTAGACCATGGGGGGTATATGATGCTACCCTGAGGTGATTGTACACTGGCAAAAGTGTTGCTGGGAACTACCCCCTGCTGGTGTATGCATATAACCCTGCCTGCTCTGTGAAGCCCTAGTTTTTTGCTAGTGTGCTTAGGTAATGGACCCCTTAACCTGCTGGAGAAATTTTTTTTCTATTATTCACTAGTTTTCCTTTTTTTTTTTTCTTTTAATTTTTAACACCTGTTAAGATCTGACAGCTGATTATGGCTCACTATTAATTTTCTGGATTGGTTAGCCTTGATGTAATTTGGGGAACTATAACCAGACCAGCAGCAAGACTGGCCTGTAAAATTTGTTTCAGGCTCTGGATTCTGTGTTCAACACTCACCTTGGTAGGTGGTACAATAAGTGAGTTAACCACAGGGTACTATACAGGTTCATGGCCATGGTCCATTCCTATGGCACCAAGGCACTGAAATCCCCTTCAGTGGTATGGTCTCCATGACAAGCGAAATCTGGGCAGGACCAATGATATGGACAAGGTAAGACAGGATTTGCCTGTACCTTTACATACTGGTTCCTGGTTATACATGTTTTATTGGATCATTATGGGGATTAGTAGTACAAACTTCATCATTTCCGTCATCCTACAAGACACACCACAGTGCTAATCACACAAGCAGTTTTGAAGGCACAGGTCAATGGGGTAATCTACACTTTGTGTATTTACCCTGGCTCTTATTATTTTGCTTTCTTTGGCCTTATAGGTAAAGTTAAATACAACGTTTACCTAATAAAATTTTTATGGGGGTTTTTCCACCTCACTACCATAACTTTTTCTCTGGCTAGTGACTTAGCGCCTATAAGACTCCTAACTGAACACTTGTGGCTGACATTTTCCGCCACCGATGTAAGCTGGTCATTTGCTGTCTTACCTGTTGCCTTATACCTCCGAGAGGCAGCCACAAGAACTTACCTAAACATACCGAACCTGCTCAGAAGCCTTCTTCTCATTGAAGGTTCACCTCCACCCCTGGGGGTGAAGGAGGGAGTGTTTACTGATCTTACCCCCAAGAACAAAAATATCACAAACTTTATTTCACTCAGTTTTAGAAGAGTCTCTATTGCTGTCCTCTTTGTCCCTTTCTGCTGCCTATTCCCACTTGCTGCTTCACAAAAGCAGACAATTTTCCTACAGCTTGCATTCAAAAGGAGTTGTAATCCCCTTCACCTTTAGGGAGAATTACAAGGGGTTTTCAAAATCCTACACTGGGATGCTTGTATTTTGTGCCTTTCAGGATAAGTGGGCTCCCTCCAGGCAAACTGCCCTTACTTTTTCCACTGCTACATGTGCTCCAACTTGAAGACTCTCAAAAATATTAGTGAGTTAGGAGTGCAGTATACTGAGGAGCCTTAGTGTAGGAAATGTGGTTTCCACATTAATTTGCAAATAAGTGCAACTAAAGAAGATCCCCCGCAAGCTGTCACAATGGTGGATCCGGGAGTCAACTGTCAAATTTAGTCAACTGGATTTTCCATTTTCCATTGTGCATTTGTATGGGTTGTTTTCTGCTTCTAAAATGACCCAGTTGTCACTACTGCCCTAGCTGCTGCTAGCTGTGCACTGCAGCTTATTCCTGATTCACTGTAGAGTTTGAACAATGAGAAATAAGAATCAGTATTTCTAAGTCTGAGGCATAATAGGCTGATGTAGGCCACATACTGCACTGAAGTGTGCCCAGTGCTACGACAACAATCCTTCGGGCACACTGGTAAGTAAAATCTAATTATAAATCCAAAAATGTAATGGCACAAAAGAACTCATAAAAAGAAGACTAATGAAATTTAATAAAAGCTTGGATATTTTATGAAGTCCCTTGTGCCACTTTTGGATTTATAATGAAATATGAAGCCATGGTACACCCACAGAAATAAGTGTTACTATAGTCATGTGGAGATACATTGTCTGCTGTGAATAAGTGTAGACAAAACTAAGGACTGTCAGCTTTCTCAGTTTTGTGGGCAGTTAGTGGTGGAGGAGCGTATGTATTAGTAATCGTCCACATACCTGAGCTTATTTATTGTTATGAGCTCTGATTTAATACTCAACAAGTTTGCAAGTGGTGGAAAGGACCTCAGTGTAGATCTTTTCTCCTCTGAATTGAGAAGTATTAGTTTAGGCACTTCAGGCATCTTATATACAGTGGGGCAAAAAAGTATTTAGTCAGCCACCAATTGTGCAAGTTCTCACACTTAAAAAAGATGAGAGAGGCCTGTAATTGGCATCATAGGTAGACCTCAACTATGAGAGACAAAATGAGAAAAAAAATCCAGACAATCACATTGGCTGATTTGGAAAGAATTTATTTGCAAATTATTTTGGAAAATAAGTATTTAGTCAATATCAAAAGTTCATCTCAATACTTTGTTATATATCCTTTATTTGCAATGACAGAGGTCAAACGTTTCCTGTAAGTCTTCACAAGTTGTTGGCCCATTCCTCCATGCAGATCTCCTCTAGAGCAGTGATGTTTTGGGGACTGTTGCTGGGCAACACGGACTTTCAACTCCCTTCAAAGGTTTTCTATGGGGTTGAGATCTGGAGACTGGCTAGGCCACTCCAGGACCTTGAAATGCTTCTTACGAAGCCACTCCTTCGGTATGTTTGGGATCACTGTCATGTTGGAAGACCCAGCCACGTTTCAACTTCAATGCCCTTGCTGATGGAAGGAGGTTTGCGCTCAAAATCTCACAATACATGGCCCCATTCATTCTGTCCTGTACATGGATCAGTCGTCCTGGTCCCTTTGCGGAGAAACAGCCCCAAAGCATGATGTTGCCACCCTCATGCTTCATAGTAGGTATGGTGTTCTTTGGATGCAACTCAGCATTTTCTCTCCTCCAAACACGACGAGTTGTGTTTTCTACCAAACAGTTCTATTCTGGATCATCCAAATGCTCTCTAGCAAACTTCAGATAGTCCCGGACATGTACTGGCTTAAGCAGGGGGACACGTCTGGCACTGCAGGATCTGAGTCCCTGGCGGCGTAGTGTGTTACTGATGGTAGCCTTTGTTATGTTGGTCCCAGCTCTCTGCAGGTCATTCGCTAGGTCCCCCCCGTGTGGTCCTGGGATTTTTGCTCACCGTTCTTGTGATCATTTTGACCCCACGGGGTGAGATCTTGTGTGGAGCCCCAGATCGAGGGAGATTATCAGTGGTCTTGTATGTCTTCCATTTTCTAATTATTGCTCCCACAGTTCATTTTTTCACACCAAGCTGCTTGCCTATTGCAGATTCAGTCTTCCCAGCCTGGTGCAGGTCTACAGTTTTGTTTCTGGTGTCCTTCGACAGCTCTTTGATCTTCACCATAGTGGAGTTTGGAGTTTGACTGATTGAGGTTGTGGACAGGTGTCTTTTATACTGATAACAAGTTCAAACAGGTGCCATTGATACAGGTAATGAGTGCAGGACAGAGGAGCCTCTTAAAGAAGAAGGTACAGGTCTGTGCGAGCCAGAAATCTTGCTTGTTTGTAGGTAACCAAATACTTATTTTCCACCATAATTTGCAAATAAATTCTTTCCAAATCAGCCAATGTGATTGTCTGGATTTGTTTTCTCATTTTGTCTCTCATAGTTGAGGTCTACCTATGATGCCAATTACAGGCCTCTCTCATCTTTTTAAGTGGAAGAACTTGCACAATTGGTGGCTGACTAAATACTTTTTTGCCCCACTGTAGATGCCTTTTGCCAGGTGTTCCAAAAGGCTTTTCCATCACATGCAATAAGAATTCTGGTCTTAGCTCTACTTTTCTAGTAGAGCTGCAGGAAGTGTGCAGTCCAAGAGTTGGACCTAGTAACATAGGAGAGCTGGCGCGACATACCCCTTGGGTTCCTTAGTTAATAGGTGGCACCACAGTGTGCTTGTGTGGGGTTTTTTCCCATGCTCCAAAGACATGCTGGTAGGATCATTGGCTCCCCTGTAAATTGGCCCATGTATGTGTATGTATGAATGTGAGATAGGGACCTTAGATTGTAATTTCTTTGAGGGCAGGAACTCATGTGAATGTACCGTGTGTTAAGCATCTTTATGAGGATAGTTGTGTTGAGAAGTGTAGCTGTTGCATAGCTTTCCAGGCATTTGTAACATGTTATGAATAGGGGGCGTACTTATTCTTTAAAACAAGCAGACATAGCACAGACTGCCAATAGTAGAGGTAACAGACCATTGATCCAGATATAAACATATAAGTGGAGTGCACATGCAGTCTAATCAGTTCATACAAAATTCAAGGAATGGACAGTCAGATAGAACTCAGAGACAGACAGATTTATCCAGAGCATGAGCAAGGTTGTCAGTCAGGCCTTAGGTGATGGTTTTAAATTCCCTTTATAAGAGATAAACAAGTCCAGGTATGCACAGAATAGATCCAAGCTGTTGTGCTGAGTAAAGACCACCAGCAGGCAAAGGTTCAAGACTGTTACATTCAGCATCTACTAAACTAAAAAAGAGAAATATTGATAATGGGTTGATGAGCCTTTATATGCATATGATCCTAATGTCTTTGTTTACCCCAATGGTTCCCAGTTATCATGTAGGCTTTGCTGTGCATATACACAATGGAAGTATTTTTTTTTATTGCTTCTCTGCATTAGGAGACTTCTCTAGAAACAAACATAATGTACTGAAGCTCCTTTACTGGTATATTTTTGAAGCTTTAGCTTGGGCCACAATGCAGTGGTTCCACTTTCAACTATTGGGGTTGTACTAATAATGGCAGGATCACTAGCAAAACAGATGGTGACATGTTTGTGAAAGTCAAAATGAAGTATTGGTTTTAGTCACTTAGCTGAGATATAAAGCAGTTGTTTTTCTCTTTCAGAACATCTAAAAAAACGTCTTGAAAGTTACATGGTGAATTTCCCAAAAGTAAGAATACTCCGCACCAAGAAGAGAGAAGGTCTGATTCGAACCCGTATGTTAGGAGCCGCTGCTGCCATTGGAGAGGTCATCACTTTTCTCGACTCACACTGTGAAGCCAATGTAAACTGGCTTCCACCTCTGCTTGGTAAGAATAGCCTGTATGCTTTGAAAGTTATGTAAAGTGGACTAAATAAATATTATTAGCACACTCCACACCCACCCTGCCTAATCATTTGGTCTGCTATGCAATGTTAAGCATAATCACCATACTGAACTATTAACAAGGTACTGCCTGTGTGCAGTGCTGTGAAAAAGTATTTGCCCCCTCCTGATTAGATATATCTCTTTTTTTTTTTTTTTGCATATTTGTCACACTGAAGTGATTCAGATCATCAAACAAATTTTAATATTACACAAAGATAACCTGAGTAAATACAAAATGCTGCTTTTAAATGCACCAAGCGGAGATAAATAGAGCTATTAGCTGATTAAAATAACAGGCAAAACGTACCAGGAGATTAGCAGTGTTGAGAGGAAAAAGAATTGGAAGAAAATATTGAATTTTACTCCACTGCACCCATTTTGGTCAAGGCTGTGTATGGATATTAAAAGAGCAGCAGTTCACTGATGTGGCTATGCCTATGCTCTCCTCCAATCAGCAGGCTCAGTTTGTTAGTTGCACAGCACTCTGAAATGCAGTAAACCTGATTGGCTTACAGTACTTGCCTTCCCTCTTCCAGTGTAAACGCTTATGTGCAGGGGTTATAGGCAGCTAGAGCAAAGATAGGTTGAAAGCCAAAAAGAGAGATGTGACACCCAGGTGAATTCCCCTCAGAGGCAGACTGTCGATGCTCTGGCTGTATGCATCCTCCCAGCACAGTACAACTCAAGGATAAATATTTTTGAAGAGCCGGCTATGACGGCTGTCCAATGGCTGAAACACGTAAGCCACTTGTTTGTACACCTTACTCGTTCTAATAAAGTTGAATATTCGGGAAGACGAGTACCCTGCTCTTCAAATCATTATCCTTGAAATATTGATTGAGGTACTATTTCAAAATACATGTGAAGTCCATCTACAGGGATGCTGGAAACACTCTTTTTGGCCCCTTGAGGTAATTACAGGGGCTACTGCATTCTTCTCATTAACCTAGCAGGGAAGAGGGATCAAACAGGGCGTCTTGCATCACTTCTCTCAAACACAGGGCATCCTGTAGAACCACGCTGGCTCTTCCGCTTAGGCGATGTAGATAGCAGTCCTCTCTCTGCAACTTTACTGTCTCCTCATACTCTGCATGCATCTTACACTACTGAACATCTGAAAGTTTCTTCTCTCTCTCCCCAAGTCTGAGCTTTGTTGTACAGAGACTGCAAAAGGCTGGAACCAAGTATACTCAGACACTTAGACTGCTTGCATGTAAAAAAAAATAAATAAAATACATTTAATGATGTATTAATAATTACAGAGCTGCTTTAATTTGTGTCTGTTATATCTATCTGGAGTTCACCTATAAGTATGTTTATGTACTGCATATATACCTGGACTAGTTGGGGTTTTTTCATAAAAGCCCACACTCACATTTGATTACAATAATGATGAAAATATGTTCTCTTTCAAAAATGCTTTTGTGGTTTCCCTTTAACACTACCAACATTTATACAGATTTTCTTACTCTTTGGACAGTTCGTTTTCTTTGTCTATCTCTGGAGGGTAGTCTATGTGAGGATGAACAGCAGCAAGCTGGCATTTGTCACTTCCTTGCGTCTTTTGGCTGAGTGTCTGACCTAAATTCCCTGCTACAAGGGAGATTATGTACAAACAGCTCCTTGCATTGTTTCCAGCACTCACTGTAATTATAGCTTCCTCATGCTTGCTAAAGAAATGACAGCTCATCCACATTAGCTTCCTAGTAGATTTGGACTTGTTTAAAAATTATTTGTCTCTTCTTTGGCAGACCGTATAGCTCAGAATCACAAGACGATTGTGTGTCCCATGATTGATGTCGTCGACCATGACCACTTTGGATATGAGACACAAGCGGGAGATGCCATGCGAGGGGCCTTTGACTGGGAAATGTTTTACAAGCGAATCCCCATCCCTTCTCAGATTCAGAATCCTGATCCCAGTGAGCCTTTTGAGTGAGTTTCTTTTTTATTTGAGATATATAGATAAAAATCTAGTATTTTGTATTTTGTATGATGATTTCCATGATTTGTAAAGACAGCACCAAGCCTTCTAGGCATGGAATGAACAAGTTAGCTACATATTGCAACATCTATCTATTTCCATTCTTCAAGAACAACCTCTTTTAGAGCCTGGATGCTGGATGGAGAGTGATGCTCAACTTGCATCTTCAGAATTTCCCATAGGTGTTTGATTGGGTTCAGATCAGGAGACATACTTGGTCACTGAATCACTTTGACCCTGTTCTTCAGAAATGCAACAGCGGACTTTGATGTGTGTTTTGGATCATTGTCATGATGGAAAAGCACATGACGACCAAGGGCACGGAGTGATGGTAGCATCTTTTCTTTCAGTATGGAGATTCAACATCTGTGAATTCATGATACCATCAATGAAATGTAGCTCCCTGACACCAGCAGCAGTCAGGCAGCCCCACAGAAGGACACTGCCACCGCCATGTTTCACTGTAGGCACCATGCATTTTTCTTTGCACTCCTCATCTTTGCAACCCCATACAGTTGTGAAGCCATCAGTTCCGAAAACATTTATCTAGGTCACATCACTCTAGAGTACAGAGTCCCAGTAGTCGTCTTTTTCAGCATGGGCCCTGGCAAATTCTAGGCAGGCTTTTTTGTGCATGGGCTTTAGGAGAGGCTTTCTTTGTGGACGACACCCATTCCGTGGATGGTCTGGACGTCTCTGTGAGATGGTTGCAGTTCCATATTTGTTACATTTTTGTATCACTTTTGCTACAGTATTCTGACCGATAAGGAAAGCTTTGATTCTTGTAGTGTTCATCTTTCATGTGTAAAGAAATTATTTTCTTTCTCAGTCCTTGTGACATTTTTCTTCTATGTGGTGCCATTGCTGACAGCATGAAATGGAAAGGGGTTTTCTTTGTTAAGTAACGCCCTTTTGTAATCGAATCTCTGCTGAACACCGGTTTAATGAATATTTAGACTCACCTGTAGTTGAATTCTTGTTAATTAGGATTTTGTTGTCTAAAATTTAGCTTTACTCCTAAGACTTTCATATATGTATGGTATAGCTGGATATAGAAAAGAATCACCCCCTTTAAAATAATCACATTTTGTTGCTTCGCAGCCTGAAATGAAGACATACACAATTTTTGTTTTATCCAGCTCTTTTTACTCTTAAAACACCAACATGTCAGAAGAAAAAAAAAATTTAAAAAACGGAATCACTGAGTTAGAAAAAGGATCACCCCCTCCTAAAAATGAATTGTAAACTCAGTCAGGTGTAGCTAATCACCTTCTTAATGGCACACAGTTATTTTACTTTCAACTGTGATCAGCTGTGATCATTTTGATTAGCTCAGCATGAAAAGAGCTTTCCTGGAGCATTTAAGTCCCTGTTAGTGCAACTGACGTAAACAATCAATTATGGGTGGCAAAGCATTGTCAAAAGATCTCTGGAATAAGGTTGTGGACAGGCACAAGTCATGAAATAGATAAAAAAAAAATGTAAAGGCTTTATCAATGCCTAGAAGCACAGTGAAGTCTATTATTAAGAAGTGTAAGGTATTTGGTACAACAGACCCTCCCTGGATCAGGACACATCACTCCAAGCAGGATGAAAGAGCCGGCAAGAAACTGGTAAGAGAGGCTACCAAGAGGCCTACAGCAACTCTGAATCAGTTGCAGAATCACAATCAATTGTGCTGTGGAAAATAAAAATGCATGGGCATGAAGTCTACCTGATATGAATGAATAAGTCATTGTAAATGTGGCAGTAGTCTATTCACCAATATTTTAGCAAACAGTTTTAATTCGGTATTAAAAATAGAATTAGCACTCCCCGCCCCATTTATACTTACGTAGGTGGATGCAGTATCTGTCTGATGCTGCATCTGTCCCCCACCGGCTCTAAGTGGGAGAACTCAGCGATCACATGACCTCACAGCCGCTCAAAGCAGAGAGTTGTTACTGTCAGTCATCGTTGTCTGCTTTGCTTGCCCAGCGCTCACTGGAGCGCTGGGCTGTGGAGGGAATGGCTGGCTCATGCTCTCAGCGGCTTGCTTGCTGAGCCAGGTGCCGCTCCAGACTCTGGTGTGGATCCCGACTTTAAAGTCGGCATCTTTCCCCAGCCTGGACCAGCTGAGTGACGTCAGCCTATAGTGGACTTCAGCCCGCTGTCAGCTGAGAACGGATCACAGGACTGCAGGACGAACTGAACTCCTGTGATCCACAGGAGAAGTACAGCCAAATGAGCTTTGGCTGTACTTCTTCAAAGGTGGAAACAGGCCTGTAATGGGCACAGTGTTCTGAGTCTTTCCCCTCTTTGTGGGCCTGGAAATGTGGTCAGTCAAGGCAGAGAGGCATATCAACGACCCCTGGCTGAGAGAATTAAATACTGCCAGGAAATGGGTAGTCAGGCAGGGATGAAATGCCTTATAGTAATGCCGCCAGGGCCTTGCCAGTCTTGTTATTCTTACTCACTATTAGGAAATCCCATGAGTCAATAGGTTTTTTCCAAAAAGTCATGCCTCCTGGGCCTATAGGGACGGAAGAACATAACATTTTGCAACGACGTGCCTCAGTAGGGGCAGCAGATCTGTATGGGTGTGGGTCATAAAGACTGACATGGTTGGCTCTAAATGCTGTAGCTATGTCCGATGGCATTGGGTGTGTGACTAGGGGGATAAATGTTTAAGCTCTCTGTTAATGTAGACCCTAGCTAAACGTTTGCTGCAGTGGTTTCCATACGCCTAAAAGGATCTCTTGTATCTGATCAATATCGCCGTTGCCTTCTTCCTGCATAGGGATCGTAATTGAAATCTACAGCATGCCAGATCAATTAGAACACCTGTGGTTTGATTATGTTCATGTAGTTTCCAAGCTGCGTCTCTTTAAGTAGATCAGTGATTTAACTGCTCCTTTGTTTCTTTAGTCAGCACTCCTCTTTAGCCTGGTACACACATTCAGTTTTTTTGGGGCTGAACTAAAAAAAAAAAAAACTGAGAGATTACTGTTAGTACAGCGATCTCTCCCGCTGTGCCTTTGTGTTCTGACAGGGGGACTCCCCCCACTGCCAGAACACACTAATCAGCACTCGCAGGTATTGGCTGTGAGCGCTGATTGAATGCTGGGTTTCCAGAACATTCAAGCACAACGGGGGGACTCCCCTGCTGCCAGAACACACTAATCAGGGCTCCCAGCCATTGGCTGCGAGTGCTGATTGGATGCTGGTTTTCCAGGATGACAGAAGGACTCCTCCGCTATCAGAACACACTAATCTTTGCTCACAGCCATTGGCTGCGAATGCTGATCTGATACTGGATTTCCAGCATTAGCAGCAGTACACATGGTTTGGATGTTCAGATATTCGGAGCGTGCGTACTCAGCTTTATGTAGGCCTTGTGAGCCCTCACATTGGATGTGTGGGGAGGTTTCTGGGGGCTGGTTGAGTTCAAAGTACAAGAATAGTTTGTGTTCCAGATCTGCTTTAATTAAAGGGTCTTTGTAGTAAGGACTCCTTAAGCCACCAGTTAGAAGACCAAACGGTCGCAGGGCCTAAGAGAAGCATAACCGTGACTGATGCAAGATCAGAGAGGGTAATATTCCCAATATCAGTGTGCGAAATTATGGGAAGGTAACAATGTTTGACTAAAAGCATGTAAATAAGGGAATACAAGTTTTGCACGGGCGAATAAAATGTAAAATCTTTGGTTGTGGGATGTTGTACCTGCCAGACGTCTATAAATTGATGTAAATGTAAGGCCTTAAGAATGCATCTGCGGGTCACTGCAGAGAGATGGGAGGCGGAACTGGAAGCATCAACAGATGGCTCAAGGACAAAAATAAAGTCCCTACCCAATATGGTGACCTTCTGCAAAGCCCGCTAGTGCCTTTAAGGCAGATTGAAGGAAAGAGATTTGGCTTTGATTTAGGGCATAAAATGTGGCTAAAGTTACCGTTTGGGATTATAGACCAGTTGTAGGTCCTTTGAGGCAACTAGGCAGGGTGAGTAACATAAGAGGACACCCGGCATATGTAGAGGCTGTACTACTAATTATCAAGTACCTTCTTAGGAGTCTACAGTTGCAAGAAAAAGTATGTGAACCCCTTGGGATTACGTGGAGTTTTGCATGAATCGGGCATAAAATGTGCTCTGAACGTCATCTAAGTCACAACAATAGAAGAACACAGTCTGCTGAACATAATCCTACACAAACATTAGATGTTGCCATGGTTTAATTGCACATAACATGTAAACATTCACAGTGCAGAGAGGAAAAAGTATGTGAGGCCCTAGCTTAATGACTTCTCCCAGAGCTAATTGGAGCCAGGAGTGAGCCAACCTTGACTAAAAATAGTGTGATGATATTGGATGTGTTGCTGACAGCTGTCCTGCCTTTAAAAAACACACACCTGTTTTGGGTTTACTGGTTTCAAGAAGCACTGTCTGATGTGAACCATGCCTCACAGAAAAGAGCTCTCAGAAGACCTACGATCAAGAATTGTTGACTTGCAAGAAGCTGGAAAGGGTTACAAAAGTATCTCCAAAAGCCTTGATATTCATGTGTCCACGGTAAGACAGACTGTCTACAAATGGAGAAAGTTTAGCACTGTTGCTACTCTCCCTAGGTGTGGTCGTCCTGTAAAAATGACTGCAAGAGCACAGCGCAGAATGCTGCATGAGGTAAAGAAGAATCCCAGAGTGTCAGCTAAAGACCTACAGAAATCTCTGGCACATGCTAACATTTTTGTTGACACATCTACAATAAGGAAAACATTAAACAAGAATGGAATACATGGGAGGACACCACAGAGGAAGCCATTGCTGTCCAAAAAGAATATTGCAGCACGTTTGAAGTTTGCAAAAGAGCATCTGGATGTTCCACAGCACTACTGGCAAAATATACTGTGGACAGATGAAACCAAGATTGAGTTGTTTGGGAAGAACACACAACACTATGTGTGGAGAAAAAAAG